TTACTGAGGTGGGAAACAGACACACACATAAAACCAGTAAAAATATGAAACGCCCACTCCAAAAGGGGACTCATGAAGTACTGTGTATTTTCTAGGACCCTCACTTTATACTGTATTTTCAGGAAGGCATGAAGTGATTGACTCTAAAGTATGCCTCCAAATAATCATCCAGAGTGCAAAATAAATTGTACTGTATGTTATATTTATCTTTAAAAAAATAAAAGGAAGTATGTAAGAGATAATATAGATCTGAACAATATTTAAACAAAGAATATGGAAGGTGACTGATATATAAACTTACAGTATTTATTGTTGCCAGGTGAATCTTAGTATTTTTTCATGAGCATCTTACATAGTTAGTTTCAGATGATGTAGAACTGGCTGTTAACTTTCTGTCTCTTTTGGTTTGGGAGGATTTATTTGAGGAAGTGAAATCTACTGAGTAAATCAGAATGGATGGAGTCCAAGTACTTCCTCTTAACTTTCTCAGAATATGAATTTTTTGGAGCTGATAGGAAGAGTTATTTATTGGTTCTTCTTCATTAACATATGTTCTACCATCTTACATCAAGTGTATGTTGACAGAAACGTTATTTTAATTATCAAGGTGCAATTCTGATCATTTTTATGTCTGTTGAAGACACTCTTTGTGTTTAATCAACCATCTGATAGAAACAAGGGTGAAGTACTAAAATAGCACCAAAATTTGAGAATTTGAGTACCAAATTTGAGAATATGGTCAAACCTAATTTTCATATGACAGTAGTCAGTTTGTAGAGAAAGTAGTGGATGAAATCATTTTGGAAGAGGCAAGTTGTGTGATCTATGTTTGCAAACGAAAATTGAAGTACATTGCAGCTGAATTTTGATCCTAGTAAGTAGTGTAAACTCTCAACAAAGATAAAGCTTAACAGAAAATATATTTTGTGACATATACCCATAAAGCAGCTACTCTTACATAAGTATTTGCATAGCATTATACTTGAAGGTAGGAGAGATGGCCAAAAACCTAAGTTCAGTTTTAGATGAACTGTTCCCAGTCTTTTTCTTGTAACATCAAAATACTGTAATTGCATATCACTTTCTCCTCTTTCCAAACACAGTCTTTTCAGTTATCCTTTATCAGGAAATAGATCACATAAACTGGAAGCTGTCTTTAACCAGACAACATGCAAACTGACCTTGGAGGTTCTAAGGAAGCCTGTGTAGGGGAATGCAGTTGCTTATTCATCCTAGCCACTGTGCTCAAAAGTAATATGATTTTAATTATTTAGATTGGATAGATTAATTGTAGTTATGGTAACCATATGTTAGGTCTTAAAAGACTTTCTGTTTTTTAGGTGCTTATACTAAAACACAAATGATTTATGTGACGTATAAGCCATGTCGCCAGGACTTCCCTGGTGGCTCAGGTGATAAAGCGTCTGCCTGCAATGTGGGAGACCCAGGTTGGATCCCTGGGTTGGGTATATCGCTTGGAGAAGGAAATGGCAACCCACTCCAGTACCCTTGCCTGGAAAATCCCATGAACAGAGGAGCCTGGTAGGCTACAGTCCATGGGGTCACAAAGAGTCCGACACGACTGACCGACTTCACTTCACTTCATGTGACATGTAGGATTTACTTCAGAATTATCCAGGGGTGGAGGGAGCAAGTGAACATATAGCTGAAACAGGATTCAGCATTAGTTGATAATTGTTGAAGTTGGGAGATAGGTGCATACAGATTTATTACACTTTTCTCTGTGCTTCTGTTTATGTTTGGAAATTTCTAATACTTTTTAAAAAACGTCTAAATGAATGAAGTGTCTACCTAGGCCCCAGAGTATTGCTTTCCACTCTTCATACATTAAAGACACAGGGAACATCAGCTCTTTTATACTTTAATTGTTTAAGTAAGCTAATGCCACTAAGTAAAACTAAAGAAAAATGCTGTACGCCCATTTCTCCTACAACCTACTCCCCCCATCACCCACTCTCAGCCCCTGGCAACTACCAATCTGTTCTCTTTATCTGAACTTACTTTTCTTTTGAATTAATTGATTTTTAGATTTCACGTGCAACAGAGATCATACTATATTTGTCTTTCTGTGGTTTATGTCTTACATAATGCCCTTCAGGTCCACCCATCTTGTGGCAAATAGCAAGATTTCATTCTATTTTATGGCCAAATTATATTCCATTGTATGTACATACCACAGTTTTTATCCACTGAAGGACACTTAGGTTGTTTCCATATCTTTGCTGCTATAAGTAATGCTGCAGTGAACTCAGGATGTACATCTATCTTTCCTAATTAGTGTTTTCATTTTCTTTAGGTAAACATCCAGAAGTGGGGTTTGGATGGATTGTATGGCAGTTCTATTTTTAACTTTTTGAGGCCCCTCCATACTGTTTTCCATAGTACCTGCGTTCATTTGCATTCCTGTCAGCAGTACACAGGGTTTTCTTTGTCCACTTCCTCTCTGACACTTGTTATTTCTAGTCTTTTTGATAATAGCCACCTCAGAGATGTGAGGGGATATGTCACTGTGGTTTTGATTTGCATTTCCCGGATGATTAGTAACACTGAATTTCATGTACTTGTTTGCCATGTGTATGTCTTTGAAAAAATGTCTATTCAGATCTGTCCATTTTTTCATCAGATTGTTAGTAGTTTGTTTTTGTCTTTTGTTTCCTGTTGAGTTGTATGAGTTCTTTTTATATTTTGGATGTCACTTGCAAATATTTCCTTCCATTCAGCAGGTTATCTTTTCACTTGTTGATGGTTTCCTTTGCCATGCCCAGCCTTTTGAGTTTGATGTAATCCCACTTGTTGGTTTTTGCTTTTGCTGCTTTCAATTTTGGTGTCAGGTTAAAAAATTCACGCCAAGTTCTATGTCAAGGAGCTTACCACTTATATTTTCTTCTATCTGGAAGTCTTATGGTTTCAGTTCTTACTTTCAATTCTTTAATCCATTTTAAGTTAATTTTTATATATAGTATAAGGTAACAGTCAACTTTTATTAGTTTATTTGTGCCACATAACTCTGTTATCCTAACACAGTTTATTGAAGAGACTGCCCTTTTCCCACTGTATATTCTTGGTTTCTTTGTTGTAAATTAATTGACCATATATCCATGGGTTCATTTCTAAGCTCTGTTCTGTTCTAGGGATCTATGTGTCTCTGTAAGCCAGTTCCATACTGCTTTAATTACTGTATTTATATCACTCTACTTAGGGCCCAGAGAACCACTTTCCATCATTCATGCTTTAAAGACTCGGAGAAGATTAGTTCTTTTGCATCTTGCTCTTTTATGTTAGAACTATCTATTTGAAATTTTCTTGTGTAAATCTGTAGGAAAATTCCCTGCAGGCACACAATATGGACCCCTTTTGCCTTTTATAATGAGGGGATTATACCTGGATGATAACCTATATTGAATGTGTACTTATAGTTCTTATTATCAAAAGATAGGAGAAAGGTTGAGTTTTCCTTAAATATTTGCTCCTGTGTTCGAAAATATCAATGTAAGATGGGAGAATTAAGTAACAGTTTTATTATCTGTAAAATGATGAAGCAGATAATTGAAGTGCCTTGAAGCCCACAAGACCTGAGCACATGTGGCCATACCCACCAGAGAATTTTGTAATAACCAGTCTGTATCTTTTCAACTCTTTTACCATTCCAAGTTTCTTTCCCACATTATGTAAGCAATAGATGAATAAAGAATTGTAGTTTTTTTTTTAATTAACCAATCCAACGAACATTTGTTTTTCTTGTTTTGACAATTTGTTTGGGAAAGGAGATGTTCGGTTTGTTAATCAGAGTAAGGCTTGGGAGAGAAGAAACCCACCACAGAATAAATCTACCACAGAATCTGACACAGAGTGTATCCTAACTCGTCCTGTGAGAGGAGAGTGAGAGTGTTATCCACCATTGATTTAGAGCATCACTGGAGGGCAGGTCGATCACTGAGTTCCCGTCGTACCAAGCAGATGGGACAGTCTTAAGTACCGAATGGTTTCTTTAAACATGTTAGCCCTTTTTATTCATAGTCTCATCTCTAAAATGATGCTCATTCATGCCATTTCTGCCTTTAATATGATCTTGCATTTTTACTGTTTAAAGTCAGGCTATAATACAGAAACAAAAAGATAGTGATAAATGTCATATACCATCGGTCTCTAAAAGCCGGCCGTATCTGCAGGGCGAGAAAACAGTCATTGCATTTTCCTACCAATTGTGAATTCTTAATGTAGTTTGTCTTTTAAAAATGGAATTGGGAGATTTTTTGAAAACTTCAGTAATTAACTAATAAATGAGTTTCTGGCCCCAAAGTATTTGCACAGATTTTTTTTTTTTTTTTTGCAGTATCTAGTTTGGAAGAAGATGAGGGGCAAACTGTGTTAACTCACATGTTACTGCATCCACATGGGCTGTGTCAGGGCGATCCCCACTGATTGCTTACAAATCAGGACTTCAAAAGACCTCAGCAGTCATAGTGGAAATATTAGCCACAGTGATGTGCACCGGAGCTTTTCTCAGAATTGATTTTGAAATGTATTGTTCCAAATGTTTGTTCCACTTCTTTTATGAAGGAAATTTTGATCAAAATGTCCTTTTTATCAAATGTTTAATTAGGACTGCTGCCTTTTGGTAATGAAGGATATGAGTCAATTTTCAGTTTTCTGCAGGACTCTATAAAGTTTTGATACATTAAAATTGTAAATGAACATTCAGTAAAGCTAGGCTCTTTTTCTTTGGCAAATCAAAGGTTTTGTTAAAGAAATTTTTGTTTGAAAATTTGAAATAATGAGCATTTATTTTGTTGGCTCTGTGTTCTACTCCACCACCTTCAAGACTGACCTTCCCACAACCCCACTGCCTATCTCGAAACCCTCTTTTTTCCCAACTTCTTTTTTTTGTAGTTGTGTATAGTTTTTATATGGTTGGCCCCTGTCTGTTTTGTTTTATTTTCAAACAGAGCCCAATCAGTATGACTTTTGTGTTTGTTCAGGAGTCAGACGGCCAGGGTTGCCCATTCTGTCGCTGCGAAATAAAAGGGACGGAGCCCATCATTGTGGACCCCTTTGATCCGAGGGATGAAGGATCCAGGTGCTGTAGCATCATCGACCCTTTTGGAATGCCGATGTTGGACTTGGACGATGATGATGACCGGGAAGAGTCCTTGATGATGAATCGGTTGGCAAATGTTCGAAAGGTAAACTAGGTTTTTTTCACGTGTTGTGTGGACATGAAAAAAAAAATGATGCTGTCACGAGTAGGGTATGACTGAGTTTGCTTGGGTTTGAGAAAGAAAGCTGCTGGAATCAATCAAAAGAAAGATGAAGATATAAGTAATGTTGAAAGACTGATGGAATCATTGGGAGAGAAAGAACTAAACTACTTCCAGTGCTCTTGCTGGTTTTAAACTCCAAAAATGAGAGATGGTGAGAGCCTTCATATAGAATTAAACATCATCTGAGACTGGCGGTAGCATATCCATGAAGAAAATTGAAGAAAGGAAATTGTTAAAATTAGAAGTGATGATATTACCTTTGTGAATTTACCATAGTGTGGGGTTTGCTTATCCATACTGCTGTCAGGAAATTAACTTTGTCAGTTCACTGGGAATGGATGCTACTACCCAGTTTATATAACCAAGCCCACAGGGACTAGTCAGTGAACCAGAAGGCCAGAAGAGTAATTAACAAACGAGAAATGTAATGATCCAGAGAACTGGACTCTGAGCTGTCAGGCTATTCTCTGTATAAAAAGATACGTGAAATTCAGCATACACTCAGAAGTGATTGAGTGATACTTGCTCTTAAAATGAGAGAAATGGCAACGAGTGGTATGAAAGGGTTGGCACACGCAGTACGAAGGTGCCCGCCTTCCTTCTGACTCCGGGCAGGCATGGCTTATCAGTCACGGTCCTCATCCGTGCTGAGTTCAGACTCGGCCTGAGCAGCCTCGGAGATCCTCTGCTCTGATTTGTCAGGACACGGCAGGTAATATGCCACCTGTTTACCGTCTGTGTAGGTAGAGTGGTGATGACGTGTAAGGGCACCGGGCCGTGTCTGCCACGTGCATCTGGGTCTCCGAGCTAGGGAGACACTTAATCCAGGAGACGGATGCGGTGGTTGGGGGTTACTGCTGCTTTAGGGCCATGTCACGCTTTATTTCTTGGCCCTCCCGCGTTTTGTGTTCCGCTGTTCCATGCTTGCCACGTGTACCAAGTACTTGTCCTTAGGATTTGTTTTTACTCATTTTTAATTGGAGGATAATTGCTTATGATGTTGTGCTGGTCACTGCTGCACAACGGTGTGAATCAAATTTCAGTAAACGTATCCACCCCCTTCTTGAGCCTCCTTCCCACCCCCCTCATCTTACCCCTCTCGGTCATCATAGGGCACTAGCGGAGCGCCCTGTTATATAGCAGCTTCCCGCTAGCTATCTGTTTTACACATATTTACTATCTGGCCCTTTAAGAAAAACACTTCCATTCCCAGATCTAGGACACTTTAAAGCATTTAAAGAATGTTTATTGAATGCATGGATAATAGGGGATGACAGAAAAGTATTTCAGACAAGTACAACAGCTGAAGTAGTTCCAGTGAACTTGATGGTAATGTTTTCTAGCTAGGAAACAGGCATTTTCAATTTTCTTTACTAAATGGGCTTTCTCCTTTCAGTGATTCATGTCAGAGGACGGGAAAAGGGCCATAAGAGTAATTCTTTCAAGAGCTTTGTGCACCTTACTGGTTGGGAGGAAATAGTGTTTACCCTGCATGAGTCTGGGAAAGGTGGCAGTTTCAGCCTGATTTCCCCTGGAGTGAGTCGAGGCTGGGGCTTTGGTTCAGCCGTGGCCCTGACCATTGAAGGGAATCACTGGTAACATAACGTGAGTGCAGGACAGTCGGAGATGACACTGGTGGTTTTCCCTGGCCTTTCACGCACTCTCAAACCATGCACGTCTTGTTCTCTCTGGCATGCTGGTGGACTTTCTGTTGAGGGAGCTGAGAAATTTTGACAATGATCTTCTCTTTAGTTTATCCCCAAAAAGAGAAGACTGGTGCTGCTCTCAGACTTTCTTGTCCCAGAAGCCAGCAGTGTTATTGAACAAAGCTGTCACTACAGTCAGCGTCATTTCTTTACTTTCCAGGAGCAGTTAGATTGAAGAAACTTAAAGAACTCGTAATTATTTGTTTTTAAATTGAGGAATCATGTTTCAATTATATGTCTTTATAACTGGCCTACCTCTTATCAATTAAACTGATTGTGAATTTTATAATATTTCATAAATCACTGCCACTTTACTTTCAATAAAACCTAAATTTTACTGTAACTGCAAGCATCAGTTCTTTCTGAATAATTGGGAAAAACAGTGCTATGGTATTATGTTCCTATAGCACTTTATAGGTACTTTCGTTTCAAGAGTTACACTAAATTGTTATGTTTTATTCAGAGGATGTCTTCTGCATTAGACTGTTCTTAAGGCCAGTGCCAATATCTTATTTATCTTTGTGTTTCTTAGTGCCTAGACATATATTAAGTGAAATAATAAATGCACATGCATGTTCACATGGTCTGTGAGGACAGTGGCCTGATTTTAAGCATCTTTTTCATTCCAGTCTGAAGACTTGGGTATATCTGTGCAAAATACCAAATTACAGATTTTATGCAGTTTTGTCTTCAGCTGAGGTTATAAACAAATACCACAGATCATTTTGACACACTAGCTCTTCTACTTGATTTTCTTCCACTCTGTTATCATTCTGTTGCCTCATTCATTCTTTGATTTATTCATTTTAAAAACATTTCATTCTCTCAACTCCGTGAGTGACTGTCAGTCATTGTCCAGCGTAAGGAATTAACTCTCTTTTATCTGCCATTTCAAATACTCTTCACCTTTCCCTTCTTTTCCAACTATATTGTGAAACTGTTCCTGTCTGTCTGAAGCATATTACATTCTTCAAATTAGTAATGCTTCTATCAAAGCATAGAGAACTGAGCTGTTTGTATATTCCTGTTGTCATGGTGATATCTGCAGCTGGAATTTATAAGGAGTAGCATACTGAAGCTATAGAATGTATTTTTTATTGTTTGTTTTGTAAGTTTATTTAGGAATGCTAATCTTACAGAAACAGGAAGAAACTATAAATATATAATACAGTGTGTTAGTTGCCTTTCTAGATGTAGGCTATTTTATGAGTTTCACTAGAAGCTGTTTTAGGTTCTGCTTGAAATTGTACCGTTGCTTGAGTCCTGGAGCTGTCTGAATTTCTCGGATAATTGGATCAGAGTGAGCCCTTAGAGGAAGTCCAGGGTGTGATAGGTAAGATCAAATCCTTTCTGACTTTAGTCAGATCAAAGCTAAGAAAAGGTATCAGTTGCTAGGTCAAAATTTTGCTTCGTTTTGCCAGAGGTGTAAAGAATCTCCACAGTTCCTTAACAGTTATTTTGACAGAACATATTATTCACAAAATACATAAATTACAAACAAGTGAAGATTTGGTACAAATACGTTGATAGACTGACCTAGTATGTGAACCGAGATTAATTTCCTTGGTCTTAAACTTCATATTATCTTAAAACAGTATTTAAAATTTTAGTGAGTGACCACATAAGAGGAAAATTAGGTGTGACCAGAGGTCAAAGGAATTATTATTCCTTTATCTTTTTTTGTACATCCTCCTAATGCTCCCATCACTAATTAAAATACATGTTGCTAATTGAAAACTTAATATATCATTTAATTCTTCCTTTTCCTAATGTGTGAAGAAAGAGTGCATAGTACTCCTATTCTGAGCAAAGAATTCATGTGTATAGATCACAGTGGTTTTGCAGTATTCTTAGGGTAGTATGACCTTTTTAACGTGACTTAGATTTCAACCACAGGGCTGGAGCAGTAAGGACAAAATTGACAACAAAAGTGAAATTCAGAAATAACCAGACATTTGAAATGTAGACCATGGTTTTCAAGTCTGGGCGAGTTCTACCTTCTGAAGGTATTGAGAAATATGTGGGGACACTTTCATTGTCACAGTGACCAAGAGATCAAGGGACCCACTGACATTTAGCAGATGGGGTCAGAGATGCAAGTATCCTCCAGCCGGCGGGACAGACGCATCTAGGAACGCTGACACTGATGCGCGCTAGTGGTTCTCCTCTCCTCGCGTGCGACACAGGCGAAGTCCTGAATGGCAGCAGGCAGTCCACAGTCACAGGTTATTGTTTGCCGTGTGACTGCATTGTTTCTCAGTTTCTTAAAGCTCTCCATGCAAATGAGTAGCGTTTTCTTTATTAGTATGTGGATATCAAAGGAAAAAACTACCTTGTCCAAGTGTGATGCGATGATACAGCGGACCTTGAAGACCCTGTCACGCGTTCCGCAGTAGTAGTTTGAACATGTACTAGTTCAGAAGAGGCAAGCACTTGATTTCTGGACTGAGCGTGGGGTTGGCCGCCTGTGGTGTAGACTGTGAGCCCTGGCGGGCACACTTCGCTCTCATTCTCAGAGACTTGCATGGTGCCTCGCACACAGCCGAGGCCTCGGGGAAAGTTTTGTTTTTCATCTGCTTGGTTGAGTGATCAGCGGTGACCCTGGTAACTAAACAGTCCTTAGGAGAGCTGCGGTCCCTGGCGTCCAGCAGCCTGGGTTCATGTTCCAGTTCCGCTCCTTGGCATTTGTGAGCCGTCCGTCGGTTATCTAACTCCCCTTGCCTCAGTGACCCTGTCCGTGAAAACTTCAGGGTTGAAATTAAATGAGTTAACTCATGTAAAGCCATTAGAACAGTGCTGGTAGATAGTAAACGTTAAGTATCAGTTGTTATCAACATCATTCTTTATATAGTGTTATTCAAGACTCCTACAATTATGGCTGTACTTCTGAGAATTAACTGTTTGTATTTTTGAGATGTCTGTAGAAGTATTTTTTCTTTCAGATACTGCCATATGTCATTGTTCAGAAAGAAAGAGACATTACAATGGGATTGGTTTGGCAAGAGCTTGGCTGTATTTCTTTATTAATGTATGCATAATTATGATTGCATATTTGTATTATGCATTGTATTTGTATATGCATATATTGCATATAATGTATGCATAATTATAATTGGCCCCATTAAACTTACCCTACAACTACCTTGTTGTACTAACAGTCACTGAAGACAGTGACTGTACTTCGTGTGCAGTTACTGAGTCATGTCTGACTCTTTG